AGCTAAAAACCCCTAATTGACCCTACTTGATGCCTCGGTGTCGACGAAAAGCCAAAAAACCATAACTTGCCTTGCTTGAAGCCTCAACATCGATAAATACCCAAAAACCCTCCCTTGACCCTACTTGATGCCTCGGCATCGACAAATAGCCAAAAAACCCTAACTTGCTCTACTTGATTCCTAGGCATCGACAAAAAGCCAAAAACCGTAATTGACCCTACTTGATGCCTCGGCGTCAACAAAAAAACAAAAGACCATCATTTGACCCTACTTGATGCCTCGGCATCGACAAATAGCCAAAAGACCCTAACTTACTCTACTTGATGCCTAGGCATCGACAAAAAGCCAAAAAACCATAATTGACCCTACTTGATGCCTCGGCGTCGATAAAAAACCAAAAAAACCATCACTGGCCCTACTTGATGCATCGGCGTCGACAAAATAGCCAAAAACCACAAATTGTCCCTACTTAAGCTCGCAATCATCAGTTGAACAGAAACATACTTAAGATCACAATCATCAATTGCAAACATCTTACTTAAGATAACATTAACCAGCTCTAAATACCACCACATTCAGCACTAGTTCAAATCCATACATAGTCATTGTACTAGATTAGTACATTACATATCCATAGTTTAGGAGTACTCATAGTTAATAGAATTTAAACTACTATCATTAAAGCAAATGCCAAACCACACCCTGTAAAAGGTCAGCAAATGCCAAATGATATTGCCCATTCTTCTCTTCCACTGCTTATCCATTTATGATGGCCTTGATCTCCTCCAGCTTCACATTGCTCTCTTCAATTGTCTTCTTGAGCTCATCAATGTGGCTCTGCAAATTCTTTCTCTCTTCAGCTAGCTTCAACTTCATGTTCCTAATGACACTAGCTTGAGCAGCTGCTAAGTTCTTAACAGTGTCATACTTCTCTTGCAACTTGGTGGTTTCAGCATCTTTCATTTCTATCACCGCCCTCTGCTCCTAGGCATCCATAAGTGCATTGACATCGTCAACCAACTTCTCAAAGCTGGCCTGGAGTTTCTTTTTCTCTTGTGTCAGGTCATGAACAACAAATGAATGCATCAGACTGTCCTCATTCCTGTCTCTCTTACTCTGTTCATACATGAACCATAACTTGGATAGTGCATTCTCAAGAGTACTAGACCAAGATGTATCAATCCATTCTACTAGTCCATAGTTTTTACCTTCCTGAAAAAAGAGTATTAACATAAAGAATTACATAACAGTGAGTTGCTTACAATGATGGTCCACATTACTTTATACTAAAATTCAGATCATGCAAGCTCAAGCTCAAGAAAGAATATTTAAACATGTCCTAAAGTAAACAGTGATTTGCTCTCAAGTAAACAACTACTAAGTAAACAATGATGGTGTGCTAACCCATGCATCTTCTGTCTTAAAATAAGCTAACATGGCAGAGTTAAAAAAATGACCTAACTAAACAATGTTGCCAGATCCAGACTAAACAATGCTACCAGAGTAAACAATTAATGAATCCACTGTCCAAACTTCACAATATAATACAATGCCTGCTGCCACATTACATGTCCATGGCAAACAAATGACAGATCTGTTAAGTTAATCCACAACTTCCAATTAGTTAAGTTGGAACAATACCTTCTCTGCACAACAAAGAAACCTCCTGCCAGTGTGAATCCCTTCGAAAGCAAGACGCCCCTCTGCTGCCTTCCCGTGTACATGGCACAAAACATACATATCTGTCTCAGGGCCCTCGAAATCTGAGTCTTTGGTGCTAGCAGGAACCTGGAGTGCAAAGGAATGACAGAGATGCTCTTCATCGTTTGAAAAGAAGCTCATTCGAGAAATCCCCAAATATCAAACTCTAACCCAAACTCTGAGAACTCATCTAAATGGTGCCGTTGTCGGAAGCTGAGCTCATGTACTCCACGGTGTGCTCGCTGCTATCCGACCCATCACTCCACGACACCATGGCGCTGCGGCGGTGACGGATGTGGCGACCAAGAACAGAGCGAGAGCGAGCGGAGAGCGAGAGATGCGCAAGCGAGGAGTGAGCAAGCAGAGTGGATAAGGAGCAACGGTTCACGCTTTTGACTGCTAGGACCGAACGGCAATGACGACGCCGTCTAACGCCGTCTGCTGGCTGTCGGGATGGCCTAGAGTGCCGCGTAGGCGAAAAACGGGCCCTACCTGTTATAAACTCACTTAACACGGCCCGATCCGCCGGTCAGTGGTTTTTGTAAAAAAAAAAACACAAAACGTGGTGCTTTCTACAGTGAATCTGTATCCTAGTGTTTTTCGCAAATCTAGCCTTCAAAATGGTGGTTTTATACAATTTACTCTTGAGGAGGAGAACTTGTTGATTCATCAACCGTTTACCCACTAAGTTGGGTTCGGGGAGGGAAATTGCAATATGCTTTGGAGCGTTTGCAACTCTTTTCTTCTGCCGATTAGGCTTAGTTGAGCCATCGGCCTCTACTGCTGCACCACCTTGCGCAACCTTAGATGCCTTTGCAACTTCCTTTGTTGCTTTCTTTGCTGCCTTCCTTCTGACTTTTTCTCCAGGAAAGCCATCATGTCTTTTTAAACAGGGAGGATCAGGAATTGCATTTGGTTCAAGAGGTGGGCGAATAAATACATGAGTGGGAGCCGTTCCAGGTGTCTGAAGATCTTGCCATGGCAGTGAGTAAATGCGAATTTCAGAGCATACTAGGGATTGACATATCTGAAATAATACCATCTTGTAGCCCAATATCTGCGAATTTTCTAAAGCAATGCTTCGTGTCATCTGCATTTACTTTATTCCCCCAGTTCCACTTCCACCCCTTCCAGAGTAAAGAGGAGATAAGGATTCTTCTATGTTCCCTGAGAGCATCTCCAACAGAAGCACTATATGAGCGTCGCGCGGTATAAAAACTGTTTTTAGCGCCTGCGGACCCAGTTTGAAATCTTCAGCAGCCGTACAAAAAGCGCGCGCTATAACTAATGCAACGCGCACATCAAAAAGGCATCGCGCGCAGCATATTTAGTGCGCCCAGTCGCGTGCGTTATAAACTCTGGGCTGCTGCAGATGGGACCGCTTGATTGGGACCGTTGGACTCGCGCGCGCAGCATATTTTACAGCGCTTGTTGAAGAAAACGTCTTCTAGCGTCCTAAAAAAATCTACTTGCGCGCTGTAAACCCATTTTTTAGGCGCCGCGCATTGGGCGGCTGTTGGAGATGCTCTGAAGAAGCTTTTCATGATGCTCACCTGCGTCCTTGCATGCACTGTTGTCCTTCATTCTCCGGTTGCAGAGCACGCCACAGTTGCTTTACCGGCTGTCGATGAAGTGCTGTTCACGCTGGCCACCACCGTTCATGTCCATCAGCTACTAGCTAGCAGACCTGTCTGTCCAGTTCCCACGCTTCAGACCCCCGTCTTTATATAAGGTCGTCTTGACCTGTCGCCGTGGATCATCAAGTCGTCGAGCAGGGGGAGCCGGCGTAGTGAATATACACACGTGAACCCAACCCATTTCCCACTGCCGATGCCGATAGAAATGCAGTCCAGCTCCTGCCCAAGCAAGCAAGCACCAAACCAAAGCAGCGCGCCGGAGGGGAGTCGGGGAGGAGCAGGGGGGAGTCAGGTCCATGGACCTGCCAGCGAAACGGGGCTGGCTTCCGCCGCTCAGATCGACGGGTCCCGCGCTGGAGGCAGGGGGCGGAGCGGTAGAGGAGCCGGGGCCTCGGAGCAGGAGGCCGACCCTCGGGGCTCTGCTTCAAGCCAGGGTTTCAATCGACCTCGGAATCCACAAGCTCGACATCGATGGAGATGAGGACAGAATCAGCGCGCTCCCCGACGACGTCCTCCTAGAAATCCTAGAGCGCCTCGACGACATGCGCGAGGCGGTCCGCGCCGGCGCACTCTCCACGCGGTGGCGGCACCTCCCCCACCGGCTCTCGCACCTGGTCCTCGACATCATGCACTTCGGCTTAGGCACTTCGACTTCGAGGGCCGACCTCGGGGGAAGTTCTTCGGCGGTCGAGGCCATGCAGGCGTACACACGCGCGCTGTACAGGTCACTGTCTCCGTGTCCTCCTCCGGCTGGCTGCAAGCGCGCTATCAAGACCCTCATCCTATGTTTCTTACCTGTGACGGACCTGACCTCCATAGGCCACGCCGTGGAGGACGTTGTCAGCCACGGTGAGACTGAGTTTCTTGGATTTTACATCTACTCGCCAGACCGTTATGGTCGGGAGGGGATCATGTCCTTCTCCACCACCTGCCCAGTTGCCTTTCGGTGGCTCACCAAGCTTACGTTCCTTAACCTTTCGTTGGTCAATTCTGACATCAACAAGCTCATTACTGATTGCGGTAGGCTCAGAATCCTCACCCTGCTTTCCTGCCATTTTCCGGGCTTTGAGCTCAAGATCGACGCGCCATTCTCCGGGCTCCACGAGCTCTACTGCGTAAACTTCTATTTGTGCATCGGTCGAGTTGATCGATGTACCCAAACTTACAGAAGTGTGGTACCAAGAATCTGAGGGCCACGGAATCCCTCTGGTGCGGTTCGGCCACGTTCCGCAGCTTCGCCATGTGTCCCTCCTTTGTCGTGCCACAGACTCTGGTAGGCGATTGGCACTGAGCGAGTATCTACCAGGGACTGCCAGGAATTTTTCTGAGTTGCATCTCCATTTTGCCTGCCAAATGGTGAGTTAATTTCGATGTGCCACATGAGTTTTTGTCCGCGTCTAAATATTGTATGTTTTTCTTCTTTTCCAACAATTTCATCTTTCGACCCGCAAAAAAAAAACAATTTCATCTTTCTATTTGTGTTCCTCTTCTTATTGCAGATCTGGATTCATATGGAACATCCGAAACAGCTCACTGCTACATTCAGAAACCTGACCAATGTGCGAAAAGTGGCTGCAGAGGCCGAGCTCCACTGAGTTCTATATACATTTCTCAGCCAAAATACCTTTTCCATAACTCAAAAAAATCTGAAAAAATGTTTTCATGCAGACATATACTTAAAGTATACGTGTACAAATTATCATAAACATATGTATTCATATGTGATGTATACAAAAAAGACAAATACACAGATTGAAATAGGCTTTTTCTTTGTTGTATTTGTGTCAGATTTTTGTCTTTTTTGTGTAGCACGCAAATGATCAAATTAGTTACTGAAAATTTATACATACTTAAAGAATATGCATATGTATTTGTACAAAAAAATTGGCATTTTTTAAAACTTTTAAATATATTTTGATTTTTTTTGGTAAAACGGGCTCCTTGGAGCCCGGTCTCTGCGACGCCTCACTCACCAATGTGGAACTTTTTGGTATCTTTCCGGAGTATGATCTGAGCTGGACCATTTTTTTCCTTGAAGCTGCACCTGCACTGCAAAATTTCAGAGTATGTCTAATACTTAATATTCTCTAATTTAAAATTTAAATGGCAAATACTTTAACTGCATCGTTCTTGTTCCTATGTTTTCCTGCACGGGCTGATTGCGAGTTTAAGTGTAACATGTATTGTTTATTTTCTATTTCCATGCATGAAGTTGTCTCGAGAACGGCATTTGTGTACGGACTGTGCCATGAAGACCAATGTAGTGTGGGAGCCATCCAAGGATTTTAAGCACCTGAACTTGAAGTTGCTCCGGATGTCCGGGTTCGAGAACGAAGACAAGGTGACAAACTACATAAGGCTAGTCATGGAGCAAACTGTGGAGTTGAAGAGAATCGAGCTGCATGGTGAAAACCCATGCAAGAAATGCGATGCCATTGACCCGAGGTCGAGGAGACCCCTGGTAGATGAAGCTCGTAGGCGTCGGATTAAGGAGAAACTTGCACATGAGTCATCCTCATCCGTGGAGATAATAATACTCCCTCCGTTCCAAAATAAGTGTCTCAACCATGATACAATTTCGTACGAGACATTTATTTTGGGACGGAGGAGAGGAAGTAGTTGATGGATCTGGTCAAGGAATGCAGCTACCGGAGTGAAAAACTAAAGACTGTATAACTACTAGGTATTGATAGCCTGACAATGTGTGATTGCTGTGGACCTCAGAGTGTAGCTAAATTATGTGTACTGCAGTTTGGATGCATGCTTTTCTTTTCACTACTTGCCTAGTGTATTTTGATTTGTTCACCTGCTTCGGCACATAGTAGCCGGAAACGGGGAACGGTGGGTCGTCCCTCGATCCGGATTCACCGACCTGGAATCAGATTCGGAAACAAGGGTTGATTCATAAGATTCGATGCGGATTCGGCGTTTCCGCAGCCGGATCGTCGATTCAGGTTCGGTGACTCGACAGCCTTGGTTCTTGAATCGATCGAGTAAGCAAAAGATCAGCCATATCAATTACGAACTCCTCGTTTTACTCTCTGCCCCGTTCTTTTCCACTCCCCTAAATAACTCCTCGTTCTGCTCTCCAATTACTTCAAGGCTGCTAATAAATTTTCCATTGGGAAAGAGATGATGTATTTTAGTCTTCATGAATCGATGATGCAACCAGTTGCTCCCAGCCCAGCCAGTTCCCTGTATAAGTACTCCCTCGGTCCCTCCCAGCCAGTTGCTCCCCGCCGTAAAGATTCACGTTCCTCGTTCCATGGTACCGTACCGGATTCATCATACCGGAATTGATTGGATCACGTTTCCACTTTAGAAAAATCGTTCTAGAGATGTATACCCTTACTGTATCCTATTTTTTTCAGCCCCCGACTCTCGTCCCCCGTTCCCGTTCCTCGTTCCCACCGTACTAGAAACATGACAACTATGCTTCGGCATCACTCAAATTCTTAACTTCTTAGGAAACCTTGTGCCTTCTGAATTTATGTGTTAACGTCAACTCTGAATAAAGAGGTACGGCAATGTATGCTGATCTGTGCACCCTCTGGAGGGTGTCATTCAAATTATTTTGCCGTTCTCTTTCCAGAATATGACTGACTTTGGGAGACCTTGTGGTAGGCATTCAAAAGTTGTCTGCATCTACCTGGACAGGGCATTAAAAACCTTGTGACTGACTTTGGGAAACATTGGGCTTATCGTCATGGTCATAAGTGCTCACAGTAATGGTATTCTTCATGGGATCACTCTGTGACCAAGAACAATGCGCTTTGCTTTCAAAATCGTAGGAGCTCGTTAGGTTGCTAAACTTGATATAAATTGGAATGCTAAATTGCATTTTGTGTGAGGTAAATCATGAGATGTGTCCATGTGGTTCTCATCAAGTTCTTCCATGTGGTTTTATCTTGAACCAGATTCAGCGCATTTATAATGCAAACGGGAGAGTGAGGTGAGTTGGCCCTCGTGATCCAATGAGCCAAAAATAAGAAGGAAAAAACAAAATTACATTTAAATTTTCCAAAAAAGTTGAAAATAATCCTACTAGTACACAAACATTTTCTTTCTTTTAGTATATGAATTTCCGTTTTCATACAATTCGGAAGCTAGTTAGGTGACGCCTCCCCAGTTCTGTTTGACCAGATTTGGGATGGCTGTCCAGATTTCTTCGTCACCTTCTTTCTTGGTACCGTGATCTTCTTTCTTGGTAGCGCAATCTGATCTTGACAGCCGTGAAAACATCTCCTCCGCGTCGCTCTCCCGAGGGCGACTCGGGGGCGACCTAGGGTTCCCTCGCGCCGCCACCTCCCCCTTCCCCTCCTCCTCGCCGCTGCCGGAGGCGATCGCCGGGGCCCCGCGCGGCTGCCGGTGAGGTCGGTGGCGAGGCCTCTGGCCGCTTCCTTTCGGTGGTGAGGGCCCGGATTTGAGGCGGCGGCCTCGCTGGTGCGGACGGCGCTCCTCCGGCGGCGGGGAGTGCTCGTCGGTGAGGTTGGCCGGGTCCCCTCGGCTGCGCAGGCAGCGAGGTCCCGGTGGGCGCTGGTCGTGGCGCGGGGAGGCCCCAGGCTCCCCTCGTCAGATCTGAGGCGTTCTGGTCCGCTCGGGATGCATGACCTCCGGCCGGCCTGGATCTCCGACGTACACACGCCTGCTGATGTTGTGGCCGGTTCGGAGGTGGCGGCAGGGTGCTTGGCCGGGGGAAACCCTTGGCCGCCGGTGGCGGTCACGGCGTTGATGGCGTCCCGGACGCCATTCCCTCCTTGGTGGCGGCGCCGAGGCTCAACTTCCCCTGCCTCCCCCCTACCCCTGCGCTCGGGTGAAAACCCTAGCCCCGGTGGCTAAGCGGTGGCGGCGCCACAGCGTCGTCACCTTCTTGAAGGCGCCGACTTGGGCATGGGGATGCTGGGCGTGTACGGCGAGCTTGTCTGGTTCCTGGTGGCGGCCCGTCCGGCCGTGTCTCCGATGGGGACCTCGCACTTCCTTACCATGTACCTGCCGTGGTGGAGCGGTACTTCATCTTACACATTGATGGCGGCTGAGTTCGGTGGCATGGCGCTGTGGAGGCTCGGCGTCCGATGCACGGAGATGGACTCACGCAGGAGGAGGTAGCTGTCTGGCGTCATGGTGACGTCGATGGCAGAGTGGCCAGACAAGGTAGAAGCCTCAATATAATCTGAAGACGGGCCTGTGGAAGATGGCTGCGACGACACACGAGTGCGTCTGACTGGATTGTGCCCCAGACCCGGTATGTGGCTCGGCTGGGGCTTCCGGCTTTTGATATTAGGTTTAGGTGAGTGGTTTGGGTAGTGGCCCAGCTAGCATCACTTCATTATATGGATAGGAGTAGCGGCATATGTTGCCAAGATGGTAGATTCAGGTATGTTGTTTGTAATACTTTGTAAGGTTCTTGAGAATAATCAATAAAGTGGGCGTATGCATCTCCCAGATGCAGAGGCCAGGGGTCATCGTCCTTTTTAAAAAAAATAAAAAATGTCTCCAATAGAGGACTTCTAGGAAACTGTTTAGCAACCTAACGAGCAGGTGGACAGGTGGAGCAGTTTTTGAGCGGAGCATCAGTGAAAATGTCAGCAAATCTATAAAATGTGTCTACTGATTCTTCATCAACCATATCAACAGGAGTCTATTGACTCGGTGAGCGGTTTTCTTAAATTTCCCTTCTTTAGCTTTGCAGCTGATTCTTCGGGAGGAGCACTTGTTGTCATCAGCAGTTTACCCACTGAGTTGGGTTCAGGGTGGGCGATTGCAATATGCTTTGGAGCGTTTGCAAACCTTTTCTTCTGCCGATTGGGCTTAGTTGAGCCATCGGCCTCTAGCCCTCTACTGATGCACTACCTTACGCAACCTTAGATGCCTTAGCAACTTCCTTTGTTGCTTTCTTTGCTGCCTTCCTTCTACTTTTTCTCCAGGAAAGCCATCATGTCTTTTTAAACAGGGAGGATCATCAATTGCATTTGGTTCAAGAGGTGGGCGAATAAATACATGATTGGGAGCCGTTCCAGGTGTCTGAAGATCTTGCCATGGCAGTGAGTAAATGCAAATTTCAGAGCATACTGGGGATTGACATATCTGAAATAATACCATCATGTAGCCCAATATCTGCGAATTTTCTAAAGCATATGCTTCGTGTCATCTCCATTCTCACGAGGAGGTGTTTCATAACCTTCATCTTCTGCACAGTCTAGAGCAGTACCAATTGTTCGGCTGAGTGGTGTCCTTTGCGAATGGCTTTTCTGAAGAAATTCTCATTTTATTCTCTGGCTTATCAGTTGTCTAAATTGGATGCTTCACCAGCCCCCTCTCTTCGAGCTCATGCCAGATTCTGCTAGAGACTCAACATGCGCGCTAGAGTAGAATCACCTGGAAGACTGAAATCATTGTACCTGTGAAGAATTAGATGCGAGCAAAATCGGCTACAGCCACAAGCGCGCATAGCTTAATTTGAAGAAAATCATTTTAGCTGAAGACTTTGAAATTTGTTCCTTAAGATGAATTCACTGGGGAATTAAATGATTGGTGAAGACTTGTACAATACAATTGTTGCACAAATGAGGTACTCCCTCAGTCCCCAAAAACTTGTCTTGAATTTGTTTAGATACGGATCTATTAGACACATTTTAGTGTTAGATTCATCCGTATCGAGATAAATCTAAGACAAACTTTTTGGGACGAACACTCAGTGGATAATTTTGCAAGAAAGGAATAGATTCGAAATGGGAAAATGCTTTAAATCTCGCCTAAAAACAACACTTTGTCTAGGATTGACTTAAGAAGAGATCAAACGTACTGTAAGAAAACAAAAGAAAAGTTACCACAAGATGAACCTGTGAAATGCTACTTAAGGAAGACAAGGAGCACGCAGATCGGTTCATCCTGCCCTAACTCGGCAAGGACCACCAGCTACGGTGACGGCGGAGGAAGATGATTCGCGGTTGATGAGGAATGCGGCGCCGGCTAGGGTTCTTGCGAGAAAGATAGAACTCGGGGCAAAAGAGGAGAATTTTTTTTCTAAAAATATTATTTGTTTTTACAAAATCTCGAAGCTACGGTTCGGATTTAGTAAATTTCAAATCTATGCCCCCATCGTCCTCTGTTGGGCCAAAGACATCCTCTTCTTCCTCGCGTGGGCCGAAGAGTTTGTCTTTCTTTGGGCCGAAGAGCTCTTTTCGCCACATACAGTGGCCGAAGGGTGAGTCTTAGTTCAACTCATGAACGAAAAGGCTACTACCTACATTGCCCCATGCAAAAAACACATCCCCTTTGATTTGGAGCTTTTCTTACACATCCCCTTTGATCTGGAGCACTTCTTGCCAAACCTTCGCACCAGTTGGACTGTATCGATGACAAAAATCTATTTAGTAGTTTGAATTGTACATCGTAACGAAAAGGCTTTCGCCCCGCTTTATATATAAATCACCTATCTTCAATCACCCAGTACAAACACACGCCGCCACAACACACGCACACACTCATGGCAAGATACATAGGCGCTGAGCTCAGCAACACCACCTCTAGCACTACCGCCGCGAAGAGATGACGCCACATATGACGAACCATGGGCTCCAAAGCAGCGCCTTCAGGACGGGAACGATGCCGGAGCGTCGCCAC